CATCTCTCTCATAATTGAACATGTGTAGTGTCGTTCGTCTATCTATCATTAAGTGAATGGGTGGCAGTTATAACACTTACTCTTGTCTCTCATTATGTTTCCTAGAACCGCTTACACTTTCATGCAGTTTTCACCGTTAAATCGAGTTCGAGCTATTACCTCCCAATATATATGTATAATTTTTTTTTCCTGTAGAAAGAAACTATGTGTTCACAACAAGTCAGGTGATTCATGGATTTCACACAAACTTTTTCTCAGAGTTCATCATGTGGACAGACGTCCATTCATCTAGCAGAAAGTGAATGGTTTGCAGTAGTAACACTTCCTCTGGTTTTTCAGTATGTTTTTTAATGTCTGTTTGAAGTTCATGGAATTTTCACTGTTAAACCGTGTTGAGCTATTACCCCCATATATATCTATGTAGATTGTTTTCCCACTGAATGAAACTCTGTGTTCCGTACAAGCTAGTTTATTGATGGCTTCCACACAGTCTTAACTCTCAGTACTCAGCAAGTGGAGAGACGTTTATTCATATAGCATAAAGAGAATAGGTACCACTAGAAGCTCATACTCTGTTTTCACGGTATGTTTAATATTTTCGGTTTCAAGTTCATGATGTTTTCACTGTAAAACCTTGTTGGAAACTGTACCTGCCGATGTATATTTATGTAGTGTGTTCCTCACTGTAAACAAACTATGTGATCCCGAGGAGATTTGTGATCTTTGGCTTTCACACACAATCAATTTTTGAAACTGAGAATATGAAGAGGGATTCGTTCATCTACCCTAAACAGAATGGATTGCTGTAGATACACTTACTGTGGGGTCTTAGTATGTTTCCTAATTCCGGTTTGAAATTGATGCATTTTTCACTGTAAAACCGAGTTGGAGCTAATGCCATCCCATATATATATATATATACACAGTGGAGTATCCCGCTCAATAAAACTTTGTTTTCCAAACAAGCTAGGTAATTGATGGCTTTTACACTGACCTAAATCTCAGAATTTAGCATGTGGAGAGA